TAAGCTTTCAAGACTACCGTTGCGGCGAAGGGGAATAAATCTACTCTATAAATGTACTATATATCAGAAGTAGTATTTAGCTCTCGCTTCAAGAGATACAAGCCGGTAGGTGAATAACTCAGCTGAAGAGTGCCATCACAAATGCAAAAAAAGATTAACATCAAAAAACAACAGAAAAACGTATCTGGCAAAGTGTACGGTTCAGGTAGATGCATTGGACTTTTTTCTTTTTCCGCTATTTGTTCGCTGACCTGACCCATCGCAGCAAAGGACAAATCGGGCGGGATCGGTTGATGTCGTGCCAACAGGCGATAGACAGCAATCTGCGCTTTCAGTTGGGCCATCTGCTTAGCTGTTAAAGCCACGTGTTCGTCATTTGCAGGCGCCTGTGGTGCGGCAGTAGCGGACGAAGAAAGGCCGGAAGTAGTCCTCTGTGAGGGGTACTGTGATGATGACGACGAAGACATGGGTGTTTGCTGTTGCACAGCGGTTGGAAAATTGGCTTCTTGCGGTGCAGCATATACCGAATCATTAACCACCTGAGCATGCGAGATCGAATAACCGTCTAAAAATCAATTATTTACACAAAAGATGAATATTTCATTCACATTTCAAAACTTCCCTAGCATGTAATAAAAAATGCAAATGGAAGTGGTTAATATCATCTTAGAAGAAAAAGGCACCAAAATAGGATAGACAGGTATTTTCTGTTGAGATCATTTCGTTCAATTATTTACATACGCAGAATGTCTCTCATTTCTGATGTCCAATATATCCGCAGCTTTGCGCACCTTGGTTATAAGGCAGCAGATGCTGCATCGCAGAAGAAAATATTCCTTTCCGAAAACAGATCTGCCTCTATCATGTTCCTCTATGCAGCATCATGGCATCCTGGTCGGAGCCCTGCAGTGTTTAGGCTCCCAACCGAGAAGTTCACGGGCAGGAGAAAACAGTGCATGCTCCTCAACCGCTTTGTCTTAAAGAGCCAACCTCCTCTGCCGAAAGAGAATATATTCATTCATTACGCAGTCCTGCTACTCAACTCCAATTATGAGTCGAAGTCAATGCTGCTGCAAGCAGTTCGACCATAGTCCCTGCTATTTCGTTAGAGCAACCGTTTTCATGCAGTACAACAACACTGACCTGACAAAAGGTACAGACGGCTTTTCGTATAATAACTCCTTTTACAGTTCAAATAATAGACGTTTCCAAAAGCACACGAGGCTATGACCATCCTCCTTTCACCTCTGGCTGAATAGTGTCCTTGATGAAGATGACAGATCAGAGATACTTAAATCGCTTAACCCCAGAAAGGTTTTAACTCCGTGTTTCAACTGAATTCAGTTCTGAAGAATGGATTCCTCACAACTTTTTACTTCCGGGCATTAAGGAAGAAATCAGCTTTCGCAACCAAAGTTGCACATGGAAGTCGCCAGGTGACAAAGACCGCTTTTCGTACTACTTACCATGAAAATATCATCTGCGTGTTCCAGGTCTGCAAGGTATCAAGTCCGATATGCTGAATCGCACTTTCCGTCCAGAATAAGACCGCTTTTGTCAGTCAGCCTTATTTCAGAAAAGAAAGTCGAGAACTATGTTGAATAGCAAATGCAAATCACATCCCCTGGCGAACATCAAAGTTAACAGAAAACCACTCAGGAAGCTCTCCTTTAACATTGATAACAGGCATGTTTAGTGCATAAATCTCTTCCAAAATGGAAACGATGTGCACAGATATCCAACAGGATTTCAAGGTAATCCATAAATCTCTGCAATATTTATTGCATATTCTTTAACATCAAGTTAGCGCTGCAACGTGGTGAGCCACATTTCGATGCCATCATGTAGGACAGCCTTATTTCAAAAGTCAAGGTGAATCAGACGAAAGATCTTGGGTTCTAATCACGGCAGGTCCAACAACGTTTCATACTCCTAAAGCTGACAGATAAACACCGCTACATGGGAAATCAGCCAGAGACTACAAGGTACAGTGAGTGCAGTGGCACCAAATTTTAACCACTACTTATAATATAATAGCCCACTGTTAGCTGACAGCATCGTGATGGAGATCGGCGTTGCACAGCACCATAAGCTCAACGAAGAAGAGATGCTACAAGTAATGGAGATGGAGTCATAACAGAGAGTGATAGACTAACGTTCGCAAACTCACTTTTCCTTTATTTACGAAGAAACTACCTGGAACTACCAAGAAGATTCAGAATGCGACAGCTGCAGATACCGTAAACTGTGAAACACGTTTTTCAATCGACCGATCACAGCTCGGAGATTTAAAAACGCAATCAAGATGCCAGAAAGGGACGCTCGCCAAACAGAATCTTGAGAAAATCACGACAGATAGCCAAACGGCAGATATAAGTCTAGACGGATCTGCTACACAGAATACCCTACACGGTGTACACATGGAATTCAACCTGCAGAACTTTTTCGATTGGCTGAGCATTAAGAGCAAACAATGACATCTCATTTCCACTAGAAAGAAATGACATCAGAACTGAACGAAATACATATTGTTCCGGTAAGTTACAAACGGAAAAACAATACGCCATTTTTAATCATAACATTATACGGGCATTTTGTTACTCTGAAGAAGAATCTTCAATGTTTCTGCATAATATTTGATTAAAAATTTTATGCACTGATATCCCATTTGTGTAATGATATAATATGTTATCCGTTTTAAGCCAGCTGGATATGAAACAGATGGCCCTCTTTATTAGGGTGAGACAGTGAGGCCGGACGCGGGTCACTGAATCCTGCTGCAACCAAATGCCTCCCTTGTGGATCCCGATTGGCTGGCTGAAGGATGCGGAGGATCAAAGCTATAGTTAACGAAAGTTAGCGCCATGAATCAACTACCCCCCCCCTCACCAAAAAAACTACGCTACACGTGAAAGAATATCAAAGCCATAAGCGCAGGCTACCGCGTCGCCTGGCCAGAAATCGGGATTATTACCCGGTGGTGGTCATAACCCGACTGGCAAACGGGAAAAAGATATTTTTCTGGATAGCCACAACACCAAAACCCTGTCGTAAAACGCACTCATTGATTTCTACATCACCGAGGCGAAAAACATTAAAACAGATATTCTCGGCGTATGCAAAAGCTGAAGATTCGCCGAACCTGTCGTACAGTGGAACCGCGCTGATCAAATATTCCCCAGGAAAGCATATGAAAAGCGACATTGGAGAAAGGCGGTGTAGAATTCATTATAAAGAAGAAGGCGGTATCTCTCGAGTCAGCTGCGACTTCCTGTCATCTCATGTCGCCACACTGATTCTGTGGTAGAGAATAGAAGGCCACTAAATACTGGACAGTGCAATGGAAAAGACGTCCATGCACACAATCATCGAATGAGATTTCAACGGTATAGTACAAAGAAACAACAGCGACCGCGTCTACTGGCCGGTTTGGAAGTCAACGGCGAAGCGAACGCAGCAGCAAGCACAGCGCATGCCCGAAGTAACCGCCTCCACATACTGAATGCCATGTTCTAAAATGCTGAAACGCGGCAGTGAACGTTGAGGAGCCCCATCGGAACGAACCTTAACCAAATCGACTACATGTTAACTGACACAAGAGATGTGTCTGTACTCAGAAAACATCATCTGCACGGGGTCAGACCAAAGATTAATCCGCTAAACGGTCGCACTGGATATCGCTGAAGAAGATCAGGTAGGAGACAAAATGCCCTTGGACGAATATTCGATTCTGAAGCATTCACAGGCAAGCTTCCCCAGCTGAACCTCGCAACAACAGACATCAAAAGCGACATCAATGCAAACTACCAGTACCTCATCGATACCATAGAAACTATAGTCCAGTCTCACAGTCGAGCAGCAATGTCGATGAGGAAACAGCGCACCAAACTTAAACGATGTAGTTGTTAACCAGAATAACCAGAGTGAAGGCTGGTGGGTAACTAGGCGACGAATACACTGCGCTGTGCAAAGAAATAAGGCAGAATATTTGGGAGTACCATGACGAAAACTGGACAACTAAGCTAAGAGAGGCGGCATTAAAGAAGAATAGTTTGAAGGCAACGGGAAAGGGCCAACCTCCTAAAAAAGAGGATTCCCGTAGCACTAAAGGATTGAAGAACAAACCCCCACGTATCGCTATCTCATGTGCAAAGAATGTGCATGAGATTCTAAATCAACCTCTACTTCTTAACGATAGAGTTAAACCGGTATTTGTAGCACGATGCGACACAAACCGTTCCTGGTGTCATCTGGGACAGAGTTGAGTGAATAATCAAGAATATTAAGTGGCAGATGTTTTGGCAGGGACAGAAAAAACCGGAGCTTTTAAAGTCAAGAGCCATGACTGCGTACAACCCGGCCCAACGATTACAGAGTACATCATGCTGAAGACAGCAGATGCATCGATGAGCTCTAGGACAATTTTTCAATTCAAGAAAAGTGATAATGAAGACATCCGTAACTGTTAATCCATCACTCTTCTTCACATGTCTAGCAGTCACAAGTTAAC